CCAAAAGTAGATTATATTACAACTATTTACTAGAATAAGATTATAATACAAAGTAGGTTCGCTACGCCTACAAACGCTTTCCCGGCTCACTATGATAAAGCCACTAGTACTAGACTTTTGTAGAATCTTCTGACTACATATAAACCATCTCCCATGTGAATGCCTTCGGAGGCTCCGGCCCGCACCAAACCTTTGCTTCACGTTTCTACCTCTGTTTGCTCCTTAAGCCTACCCGGTATCTCCTTTGCCAACTGCCTAATACCCTATTGTAAACCGACACGCGCATCCGTCCTCTCGAGCTATACAGACAGTGTCACTGTCGCTGCCATTGTATACTACGCCCCGCAGTACGTGAATACTGTTTCGCGTTACCTTGCCGGATCTCTCCTCTCCACAAGGCCGACCATGTCTCGCAGGCTTGCTGCGCTCACACCCTTAACCAAGCAGCGTAATCGCAGTGTTTCCAACCCACTAACCAAAACGTCCTCGTATCCTTTTCCTCCCAATGTATAGTTTGTAGTTGTATAAAATAATCGAAGCGGAAACTTTAAATTTATCGGATTGGAATCGGAAAGGAGTCGTAATCCCGTATATCGTCGTTGGGCCCGTCTCTACGGGGCGCTTCTCTGAAATCCGTAGAAACCTCCACACCATTCCCTCAGTATACGCAACGTTCCTTGTGTTCCGTGGACCCTTTGCAGACGCTTTCCGCCCTTCTAAATCCCTCGTTGAACTATGGTCGGGTCGCTTTCCGTTTTGCCTGTTCTACACTGCTACTCCCCTAACCATCTGTAATAACCTCCAATATGGTATACCCTCATATTGTACTTGTTGTAAGATTCCGAATCAATCTGCAACGCTCCAGAGGTGTCCTGTCGACTTTCAATACAATCGCTTCCTTCGCAGGCTCTGCTTTCCACGCAGACTCGAAAGGGCTGGTTCCGCTTCAGGGGCTCACAGTGAGTACCCCGTCAGGCTCTGCTTCCCACGACAGACTCGTAAGGGCCGGCACCGCTTTGAATTTATCGATTGTAGCTTCCATCGTCGGATGGTTTTCATCTCCATTTCGCTGGTAGTCCTCTGTTCCGGGCTCATCGCGAGCGCTTTCGTCGCGCTCAGCTGCAAATACTTTCAGTACCAGTAAAAGCCTCCGATAAGTGTACGACCACCACCCAGCTCCAGCGACTCTACTTAGCTCTCCGAACACTAGTAAACTAGGTCGAAGGTTCGTAGGATACACCACGTACAGGTGAGAGTCTTCGCATCCCTAAGGCTTATATCAACCATATCACCAAGGTCGAATTCTTTATAGCCTTCAAAGCAGCATATCTACAATCAATAACTGTTCAAAATGGATTATCTGGATTCCGCGGAGCTGGATTAATACCCTTTGATCCTCAAACTGTGATTTCTAAGCTAGATATCAAATTACGAACACCTACACCTAGCAGATCCTCCTCTGTAGAGCTCGATCCTTGGGTCTCTCAAACACCTCACAACTCGAACGATGCTCTCTCGCAATCAACCTTAGTTAAAAATCGAATTGCACAACATCAAGGAAGCTCTTCTACACCTATATTTGAAACAATTGCAGTTTTAGCTAAGGGTACAGAGATATTAGTTTATGAGATAACACTTATAAGTACTGAGATTCGTACTTTTCGAAAAGCAAATGAGGTATTGAGTAAACGTCGTAGAGCTAAAAAGAGTCGGATCCGTGAAGGAGGAGCACTTAGTGTACAAGATGGATGTGATATCATATTGCAAACTGAAGTGGATAATCAGATTCGACGCGACGAGCATCTAAAGAGGGGTAATTCAAATGGGGAACAGTCAACTTTACGTCGCTGTGGCTCTTGTGGTAAAAGTGGTCATAATGTACGAACCTGTC